GAAGGAAGGAAGGAAGGAAGGAAGGAAGGAAGGAAGGAAGGAAGGAACTAAGCAGGAGAAGTGAAGGAATTCATGATGTTGCTAATAGTTGGTGTGTGTGTGTGTGTGAATGGAAGACTGAGTAAAAGAATCACATGGTAAACCAGACTCATTCTCTTCATTCTCTTTACCAAAATCTGGCCCTGAGTCAGGGAAACATTTTAGAACCTGTCCTGAATGGCAATGTGATGGCGCATCTCATTTCTTCGTCATACTCAGCAGTTTTAGAAGTGCAAGCAAATTTTTCAGTCTTTCTAAGAATCTGTTTCTTTGTGCAATAACTTCATTTTTCTCGGAAGGATCCCTTAATGGCATGGCATCACATTTATTTTCTAAGTCACAAGGCAGATGTTGACAACATTTTATTCCACTCTTTCATCCTTCCTCTCCTACATACCGCTGTTCAGATAAGTATGTAGCATGCACAGGTTATACCAGATGAGCAGAAGGCCAGGGGGAAGCAGCCTTATGAAAACCAACTTTAATTTCTCAGAGGTTTTGAGTGGTTTTCACATTTTTTTCAGTGAATGAGTATATGAATAACCATCTCCAGCCAGCCCTGCCTTCATAGATGGGATTGTACTCCAGCCTCCTCCAAGGACTTATTAGCCTTGAGTTTGCAAAGCAAGGATCACTGTGCAACTTGGGGAAGGGGTCAGCTGCCAGGGCTTGGGCTCCTTCTGACAGTTCATCCAGACAGGTAATTAAATGGGCTTAACCAAGGGGTCTCCATTTAGTCCTCTGGGCCAGGGATGGAGAATTGTCCATTGGCTGGTCTTCTAACATTTTGTGCCAGAGTTTGCTATATTCTTTAATCATCACTCAGTGCCTGTACCCCACTAAATCATGCCTGGAAATTGCAGGGAGTTGTAAGATTCTTAAAATCACTTCCTATGCCATGGAGCAAAGGAGCTGGATCAGGCATGACATAAATGAGTATGAAGTGCTGGCTCTGGAATAGCTATTATAACACCTACTGTGGTTAGGAACTTGACCTGTATTATCTCCAGCTCCTATCCAGGGAAACTGAAGATCAGGCTGGTTAAATAGTTTTCCCACAAGCTGGGATTTGAACCCATGGTCTTCTGGTTTCCTCTCTGTCATGTTGTCTTCTGTGTTTTAGCGCTAATCTTATCGACTGCCTGGGCTTTGTGCATTGTATTCTGTTCTTCTTGGCCACAGGAAACAGATGAGCCACCAAGAATACCCTCTCTTTGTAAAAGAACCAAGGAGGTGTAGGAATCCTGATTTGTACACTTTAGATAAATGCACTAGACCAATCCCTTCCTTGTCAGTGAGCAAAGAGTGATTTTGGCCTCCAACGCTATGGATGTCAAAGAGATCTAATTTGGAGAAAACACCCTAGATTCTAGAGTCACTGAGCCTCTCAGAGTCCTCTGCTTTAATTAGTGTTGAATGAATGGAGCATGGGCTTTGAAGCCAAACAGGCCCAGGTTTCAATCCTGCTTGCTTCCTTCCTTCCTTCCTTCCTTCCTTCCTTCCTTCCTTCCTTCCTTCCTTCCTTCCTTCCTTCCTT